GGGTTGTGATGATTGGATTTAGGGGAGAACATTGGACTTCCCTCCCCCCCCCTCTCTCCTTCCCTCACTTTCCTTCCCCTTTACTGGAGGGGAAATGAGGAAAGAGGTAAGAGATCTGATTACCTATTGTTACACTAAGTTGTAAGTCAATCTTAGCCCCCCCTCTCTCCCCAACCACTACCACCACCTCTCACCCAGAGACCTACCATTACCACCCCCTCTCCCAATCACCCCTAATCTCCCATACCTCCCCCTTCCTCCCTCATTAATCGAACCATGGACCATCTCCCTCCCCTCTCTTTCCCTACCCTCTCAAGACTGCTAATCACGTGATTTAGACATTAATTAGCGAGCCTCTTACTAAGGACTCTCGTTATCCGGACAGTTTTTCAGGACCACCATCAACTTTCAGGGGTATAAGTCCCTGATTTTACATTACTTTGATCTTAAATTTCATTTTAATGCCACGAAGTTATTCTATTATGTGATTTCTTTTGTTCTACCCTTTTACTGGTTATATATAAGAGGTATTGCTTTACACCAGAGGGCTATTGGATGTGCTCCAGAGCAATTGCTGTGTACTAGAGATATGGCTATGCACTAGAGCCTTTGCTATGCACGAGTTATTGCTCTGCACGACAGCTATTGCTATGCACTAGTGCTATTGCTATAGACCAGAGCAATTGCTTTACTCCAGAGCTATTGCTATGCATCAGAGCTATAGTTTTGCAGCTTTAATATATATATATTTCATAACAATTAAGTTTTAATGACATCTATTATGAATTACAACTGTATTAATGTTAATATAATAAAATCCATAAAATATTATTTAAATTGTTCATAACTCTTTTACAATTAGAAGTTTGAGTTTACTTTGAAATTAGCAAACTAGAACTGTACTTTGTCTGTTCAGTTACGTAATTGTTTAATAATAATAATTATCGGATTCAATGCTTTTTTATCTTTAATTATCTTTTTTATCAATAATTAACGGATTCAATGCTGTGATATGTTATTTGGTATTTAATTTAAATTTTGTTGAATTGTTGAAGTATTATTATGCTATGGCTTCCAGCCTGTGGCCAAGATGAATTGTATTTATAATGTAATAGTAATGTATATAATATATACATAATGTATAGTAATGTATATAATAAAAAATAGTGATGTAAGATGAAGATGTATTTAGGAGGTAAGAGAGGGGGAGATTGTCGAGTTCGTGCAAAGGGAACAACTATCTGGTTGTTAACTGTTACTTCTCCTCCTCCTATCTCTTCCTGGTTTGGTAGTTAGTTCTTAAAGGTAGGACTTGACGAGAAGCTAAAAGATTGTGTTATGATAATATAATTCTCTTAAGTTCTTCTTCTTAAGGAAAGAAAGATCTAGTTTATGTTGAAGTGTATTTAAAAAACTAATTTTTGGATGTAATTTTCACCCTGACTCAAGCACTATGGTATTGTAGTAATTTTCTTCATTGCGTTATTGATACTAATAACTCTATAAAATTCGTACTAATATTTTTATTTTTTAATTCTTCCTCATAATTCTACAAAATTCGGACTATTAATTCTATAAAATTATTCTTAATAATAAGATTTAATTCTACTTATGATTCTAAAAAGCCTTTTAACTCTTAATATAAGATATTATTAAAAATAAGATATTATTAAAAATAATAATAATAATAAGATATTATTAAAAATAACAATAAATCCTTTACTCAAAATATTTAAACAATTTGCTATTATTTAGAATAAAAACTGCCTTTACAAATACTTATATAATAATAAAACAAATTTACAATCACCACGAAAGTAAAGGCCTGAATTATTCATAAAAAAAATGCTTCCTGTATTATCATTTTTGGTATTTATTATTAGCTAAATTCTCATCGTTAAGGTGAAATGAGTCGTTGCCTGTAGTTACCAGTCAGCCGGTGAGATTGGAAAGGCATCAATCACTCAAGGATTATTATTGGCCTCTGTTAATCATGCTCTAGTCCAGCGCGATTAGCAACGTGATTTCGGAGGTGTTAATTAATCATTTTTCTTTCTGTGGGAGACATTTGAGAGGTTTTTCACCCCCAAGGCTACAAGAGATATTATATTATGGGAACTATATGAAAAAAGGTTTTATAAAGGGACTATATGAGAGAGTTTTTTTTATATGTGATTATATGTGATTGGGTCTTTATAAAGGGTCTGTATTAGGGTTTTTTTAAGAAATGAAATATATATGTGTTTGATTTATATAATTGGAACTGTCTGAGGGTTTTTGCATTTGGGCCAAATTAATTTTTGTTTTTTCATTATAGGAACTATATACAAGTGTCCTAATTCAGCTGCTTGGATTGACTCTGGGGTCTTTTTTTACTCCCATATCCACCCTCAGTACTTAGTACCTATGAAGGTTAAACTCTGAAAGCCATTACTCCCACCATTTCCGAAGCCCATCAATCTTCCATTCGTCTCCGACAGTTATTTGAATCTCTCGTTCTAAACTGTCTCAAACAGCTTTGCGTCTTCTGCGAACAAGGATCAACTTTGAATTTTTTGTCCCCCTTAGTAAATCGATTAATATACTCAAGGAGGGAAGGGGGGGGGGGGGGGATTGATCCTAGCACTAACTCCTGTTTCATTTCGCTCTTCACCATTCTCTGTTCTGAGTTCCGACTCTTACCGTAATTACCTAAGTGTAATTACCTAAGTGTAGTTACAGTATGAGAGCTACGCTCGTAGTGTCCCGTCTCCCCAGCACTCTTTGTCATATAACGCTTTGAAATTACAGACGGTTTTGGCCTCCACCACCTTTAGGGGAGCCGGTCGGCCGAGCAGACAGCACGCTGGGCTTGTGATCCTGTGGTCCTGGGTTCGATCCCAGGCGCCGGCGAGAAACAATGGGCAGAGTTTCTTTCACCCTATGCCCCTGTTACCTAGCAGTAAAATAGGTACCTGGGTGTTAGTCCGCTGTCTCGGGCTGCTTCCTGGGGGGGTGGAGGCCTGGTCGAGGACCGGGCCGCGGGGACACTAAAAAGCCCCGAAATCATCTCAAGATAACCTCAAGATAACCTTCTCACCTAAATTGTTCCAACCGTCTACCACTCTGTTTACAAAAGTGAATTTTCTTATATATCTCCGGCACCGTGGCAGCAGGCGTGTGTGTACTGTGACTACGTGGGAGTGAAGTCTAGCTCTTTCTGCCCCCACGGCCTGCCAGTCTTACTGAACCTGTTGCCATATAATAGAACATTTCTCATGTTCAAATTCTTTATCTAATCTATCTTTCAAGTTATGGATGGAGGTGGCTTCCAGACCTTCCTTCAGCGCATCCCACTTGTTGACGACCCAAACAGGGTACGAATATTTTCCCTGTACTCACCTAATTGTGCTTGCGGGGGTTGAGCTTTGGCTCTTTGGTCCCGCCTCTCAACTGTCAATCAACTGGTGTACAGATTCCTGAGCCTACTGGGCTCTATCATATCTACATTTGAAACTGTGTATGGAGTCAGCCTCCACCACATCACTTCCTGTATGTATATCCGTATATTCCTGTATATCTCCGTGCGTGTTCCTGTGTTTAAACAACAGTAGTTAAACATCTGTAAGATCCACATAATAGAATCTTGCAGACCTCTTTTTTTCAACGACGAGTGTTCAGCCCTACATATTCTCATTCCTGTATCTGTGCCGGGGCCTTAAAACCCAAGCGAGAGCTGTTTACACGGCTGAGTCAGCTGCAGGCTAAATACAGATTAAATTTGTTCAAGGGGGAGAGTGTTAGTTTACATGTATGACTCCCCAGAGGCGAGTCTACTTCTTCTATCCCATCAGTTACTACGTGTTTATCTTGAGTGAGTCCCTGTAGGCGGTGGAGAGTGACAGGGTATGCAATTAAGTGAGTTGTAAATGGTCTACTCTGACGGAGGCGACGACGCTTTCTTCACGAGTACAGCTGCTACTGCTATCGTTGGTAAACTATCATTTAATTGCCCCCAGCTTCTATCATTACCCTTCTCAGCGTGAATTATATACCAACGACGGCATCCATCACCACGAGACATCATCACTCGGTGTAAACAACCAGTCTACCAGCGTCTTCAATCACCACTACCACTACTTCCACCACCACCACCACTGCCACCTTCACGATCATCTCCACCATCATCACTACGTAACAACAAACGCTGCACAACTTTCCCCCCCCCCACCTTTACCATCATCGTGAATTTAGAAAAGTCACGGCTGGTAAACTTGATCGAGTTTCATGGCAGGTTCATCATGATAAAATTGACTGTATCTTTACAGTCAAGTGTACACATGACTGTATTTTTGTGGTAGACCGTGTCTTCCTATATTGACCCCTCCCCCCAAAAAAAAAGACACTGTTTCTCATCAAAATCTGGAGAACAAAACTGAGAAACAAGCTTGAATAACTTTTGAGACACAGAAGGACCGAAAATAGAGCGGAACAATAACTGTTATTGGTCACGGTAACAATCTACCCGAAGGTAGATTGTGATTTCATAAGAGAGTTATAATACCTGTTACCTAGCAGTAAATAGGTACCTGGGAGTTAGTCAGCTGTCACGGGCCGTTTCCTGGGGGTGGAGGCCTGGTCGAGGACCGGGCCGCGAGGACACTAAAGCCCCGAAATCATCTCAAGATAACCTCAAGATAACGGTA